CTTACTGCTGATAACGGCCAAGTTAAACTTTAAGCACCACTAACTACCAATGGAGTGCGACCGCACCAATAACCTTGAAACACTTACTGAGCAAGTCAGTGAAACCTGCTAGGTAATGTCACCACCAATAAAATTTGCTCATCGAAGTGTTATGGTATTAAATGGGATATCTGGCAAGTTTCAGCTTAGGTTTGGGAAAGATCAAGTTATGCTTTAAGCCAAAGACAAATTAGGGTTAGGTTAACCTAATAAAGACGACATTAGGGTTCGTTCGAATTACATTACAGTTAGTTTAAGCATATTTTCACGTTAGGGTTAGGTTCAGGAAAGATTGGGGTTATTGCTAGGGTTGGAAGACCTACATAATTACATGCATAGAATGTGGTTAAATTACTCTGTTGATATAATTATTTAGAAGAGAACTTGTGCACTATGGTAGAGTATAATTTCATTGTGGGTAAATTTATTTGGATAAAGTTTTACAGTGTTATACAGTAATATTTACTGATGACGTTTCGAGTACAATTTATTACTGAGTAAATATTGCGGTATTACACTATGAGACTTTATCAAAATTAAATTTTACCCACAACGGAACTATACTCTGTTGATATTTCAACCTGAAACTGACAGCTGTTTTTATCACATGTGAGAGGAAGGTGCCCACTGCAACACTTTTTATGCATCCGATATACAAAAATGCCTCCTTCACGTGACTGGTGCGTTCGAGGTCATTTGCTGATTGGTAGTTAGTGGTGCTTAAAGTTTAACTTTGCCCTGATAACTTTATCAAAGTAATATTTAACCAGAATTTACAAAATCTAAGTTCACATACAACAACTTAATCATATTTCTTTAGCATGAGGTAATTTTTATACTGTCAAGTGGCCGGACTGAATTTGATAAATGTATGATTTTTGAAAGCAGCATATGTTAGTAAGAATTATCCCCGAATGTTTTGTTAGCGTTCTAGAATCCTTTCATAAACATATCTCAGCTAGAGTGAGGGAATACAACCGCCTTCCACCGTTTTTTTCAATCAGCAATGGATTTAGACCAAAATTTCGTGATTTCACCATTTCTTAACTTTACCATTGATACAATTTTGAGGGCAGCTGAGTAGAACAGATGTTCTGTCTGAATAAAGACATCCCTACCTTGGATATGCTACTAATATTATCTATGTTAAGCGTTTTTCTTCGTTCAAATACAAAGTTGTTTTCAAAAAAATGGTAGGAAGTTTTACCTGTACTCGGCCTAACAGAAAAATCGTTAAAAGTAGTCGAGAAGTTAACGTATCTAGGTAGTTGAATGAGCGTTAGTGAATTTTTTCAATCTAATGACATATTTTTCAATAGGGCTTGAGCACACGCCACGAATGTCATCTCAATGACACATATTGAATTTACTGTTTGCGAGCTTTAAATCTGGTTGGATAAAGGGAAGAGGTGATTAGTCCTTGACGTGACACTATGCAATGAAGGATATTTGAGATGGATTTAAAACTTTAAATCTATAAAAGACACGTGAAGGACTTTTATTTCAACCCCCTTTTTAAATTAAAATGCATTCTGTAGTGAAGGTTTCTACTAGGGCTAGAAATATTATATCATGAATACTTTACTGTCTTTAGATTTGTTTTACGCTAGATCAGATGCTTTTCAGTGGACTGTAGTGGTATTTCTCAACTGATTATAAAAACAATTCATGTTCCGCATTTTAATATATGATTCACTTTTCCTTTCTATCCCATACAGCAATTAGATATTATGCAATTGAATGGTCACTCTCAGAAAGAAACTGAATTTCTGTTTATACGTCAGGTGGAGTCTTTTCTCTCTGGTATAATTGATGTCACTTGTCATACTGAAGATGTTCTACTTAGAGTAAGTGCTTTTTTCTGCAATTACTGGAAAAATTTGAATAAATTGTAAACAATATTGTTTTGATTAGATTTCATAACTTTTTAATGCTTGCATATTAAATTAGTTAAAGATATAGGAGTCAGAGTTTTTTTGTTTATGCAGTTTAAGCTTTAGACACTTCAATTGATTTAAACTAAACGAAGAATAATGTCTTACCTTAACTAGCTACTGATGGTTTTGTTTTCGTACTACTTGAAAGTAGTATACCATAAACTTTACAAAATCTTCCAGTGTTCTTTTACTTTTTTATTCTTGTCATTGTTATGATGTCTGTTCGGTTTCCACTCGGAGGGTGTGGCGTGTAATATGGCTTAACAATCTTGAATAAACACTGTTAATGTCATTTTGCAAGTAATGTGTAGGTTCTAGTTGTGTTTTTTTGGTGTTAAGTTCAATCTTCAAAAACACCATCTATATATATATATATATATATATAGATGGTGAATTATTACATTGAAAAATACCCAACAGCTGCTTTTTCAATATTTATATCATACCTGTTATTTTCTTCCTTTATACTGTATGCAGCTGATCGGTTACTGGTGATCGGATTATGTTGTGCTATGTAGTCTTCAGTGGTAGTCATATCCCATCGGTGAAATGTCACTACTGTATTTAGGCACTGTGTAGTTTCAAGTGTTGGTTTCGGGATTTCATCATGGGCTGACATCCGTTAGAGAACCATTGGAGGGCCTGGAAATACCGGAAAGCTGTTTCGTCCTAGTTTAAGACTCTTGGCAGTATGCACCCACCGGGATTAGAACCAAGGACCTTCCGGTTACAAGGCGAGGTTGTAGACTGGGACCCGGTCCAATGGTCCATGAATTCCAACTTTTGCCAATTCACGATATCGCGCTACGACTAGCGAATATCATCGGCGAGTATTTTTCCTCATACCCGACCTGCTGTACCCCACTGATCACGACTTCCCACTAGAACCCGGGTAACTACCTACCTGAATAGGGCCAGTCACTAGTTGAGCATTAGATTGATATTCAAGTGTTGGTTTGCAGGAATTTGATTGGTTTCAGTGGCTTAATGGTCTACGAGCTCGCCTTGTAACTGGAAAATCCTGGGTTCGAACCCCCAGTGGGTGTGTACTGATGAAGAGTGCCAAACTAGAAAGAAACAACTGTCCAGTATTCCCAGATTTTCCAATGGTTCTCTGACTGATATCACCTCGCGACTAAATCATGAAACTGTGTAGTCTTTTGACAGTCAACTGGATCTCTGTGATATTATTTTCTCCATTTTCACTATTATTATATTTCAATAGTTGTTTGCACAATGACATCACTGTGCGATCTTTCTAATCATGCAGTCGTCGGACCATGTATAGATAAGATGCTATTGTAGGTTCATTTAGTGAAAGAGAGAGAGAAAGAACGTATTCTTATAGAAGTTCTGGAATCAATCCTGTATGTTATCAAGAGAAATAGAGATATAATCCTATTAATGAGAAGCTTTCAATTCTTATCAGAAAATGAGTAAATTGTTCAACATTTCACTGTGTGCCGCTATGCCACTATGAGGATGTTATAAATGCATGCGTTGTCTTCAGGTTATACTGACAGTTAATATTTTTTTGTTTGTGAATTGTGATAATCTATGTACAGCTACATCATGTTGATGAAACTCTCCAAATTCTGTTTCTATTTCTTTTCTCATGCTTTGTATCATTGCAGTTCAGCTCAAAAAATTCACAACATGAGAAACATACCAACACCTTCTGACTTAATTATTAACACTGTCGTTATTTTCTTTTTGTCTCATTTTTTTCAGTTGATTATCTTTAAGCATGTTCCAGAGATTGTTAAATGTTTAACAGAAGTTTATCCCAAGTTAAAACTGTCTCAATTCATTGTCCGGTTGATTACACGTACACTAGAGAGTACTGAACTGCCAAGTCAGAAAATTTTAACTGAAACCATTCATTCAAGTCTATTCACTGATGCTCAATGTCGTCATCTTCTTGTACCAACGATTCAGTCAAGTTTAACGCATGTTTTCACAGAAAAATTGGATAAAGTAATTTTTGTTGTTGTCTCTTCTTAAATTCATCTTTCTATTGCTTTATGACAAATTCACTGGTGTTTGTTTGTGTGTGTCTGTGGACTTTTGTCTCAGTTCGTCAGGCCTTCTGGTGTCTGATGTCTTAAAAGGGTTAAGAGCGAATTTTTATCTCGTGAATTATTGATACCAAATGTATATAAAATTAATGGTGTGTAATGGTTTATGAGATCGTGTACACTACTGGCAAGTATGAATTCACTGATCTGCAAATAACCTCCTAGAAAAAGAACTTTGTTGCAATGTTCATTTCTATAGTAGATCTTTACGTTACTGTTAGTTTAAATTATAATGTTTACTATATATATCGTTGATATAAGAATAGAACTTCTGCACTGTAGTAGAGTATAATTCCATTATGTGTAGAATTTATTTTGATGGAGTCTCACAGTGTTATAAAGTAACATTTACTGATGAAGCAAAATAAAAATAATGGGGAAACTAATAATGATAACATAAATAAGAGAGAATATAAGACATCTACTGTTATACCATATAAGGAGGGGACATTTCAGACCCTACATAGGACTCTTAATGAAGCAGGAATTAGAGTGGCATTTAAACCCACAAACTCACTCAGGGACAAGCTCTGTAGGTTAAAGGACCCGGTGGACCCAATTAGACAAAATAATATAATTTACAAAATACCTTGCAATGACTGTGAGTTAGGTCAGCTACATAGGTCAGACTAGTAGGTCGGGAGTAGTCAGATTGTCGGAACATAAGAATTTAGCTAAGGTAAGAATGGTTGACTTCGAGAAGATGAGTAATTTAGAAAAAAGCTCACAAATTGCACTGCATGCACTAACACACAACCACACAATAGGGTGGGAGAGGGTTAAAGTTCTGAAAAGTAATCTAGGTAAGTGGAGAGAGAGGTTGATTACTGAATTCTCGTCCATCGAGTCCACACCCAGCACGTGCAACAGGAATGACTCATCACTCATACCAGAAATATGGAAAATACTACTACCAATCGTATGAAGAGGGGAAAAATAATGGAATTAGATAAACGAAGTTAGAAAGTTGTGTGAGTACCTTAATATGATTATGAGCAGTATAAGTTGTGCTCGAAACGTCATCAGTAAATATTACTGTATAACACTGTGAGACTCTATCAAAATAAAAATTTACCCGTAATGGAATTATATTTATTGTTTATTGTAAAGCGGAAAATATCAGACATATGCTTCACTTAGATCCTTCTGAGTACTACAAATGTTGCGATTACGAAGTTGTTTGGAGTTTAGTTTATCAATCCAATGTCATGTTAAAATTTCTTACCGCTTTGTAAATATTTATGTAGTCGAATCACATGGATAGAATAGTTGATTGATTGATTGACAAGAAGTAAAACAAAAAGTGACCACATTTAAGACTCAAGGTAACTGACTATATAATTTCGAAATAACAATAACTTTTACTGTATAGTTAGTGTATGTTTTAAAAAGATGTTCAACTAGTCGCCTATATGTGTTTATCAATAATTATTTGATTAACTGATTAAGTTCCTTAAGGAAAAGAATGATTAGTCGGTCATACAGAATGATGAGTTGGATTGAGCGCAACTTGAACAAACAGACTGAGCATTTCGGTTAATGGTTCCAATGTCCTTGAGTTACTCCTCGCTTGCTATTCATTTATCCGTTGATTGATGTCTCAGGTTGTAGCTTGGTGTTTTGAACAGTTGACCTTAAGCTATTAGACCTTGGATAATATCAATAACCCATTTTCTATAGTTGGTTTGTAAGGATTAGTTTTGTTTTTACGAGTTGATCACGGATTGATATCAGTTAGAGAACCATTGAAGACCAAGGAGTACTGGACAGCTGCTGTTTCATCCTAGTTTGGGAATCATAGGCAGTATGCACCCACCACCATGGTTTGAACCCAGGACCTAGCGGTTGCAAGGTAAGCTGGCTCGTATACCATTCAGCCACTGGGACCCGATTCAATGACCAACGCATGAATTCTAACTTCTACCAATTCGTGATTTAGCGCGACCCCAACCAATGTCGTTGGTGGGACATCCATCCTCACACTTGACTGGATGAACCTCACTGGTCACGACTTCTCACTAGTGACTCCAGGAAACTCCGTCCTATAGCAAGTCACTGTGTGCGTCGGTGGCATAGCGGTTAGGGCGCTCGCCGACCATGCACATGGTCCGGGGTTCGAGCCCCGGCCGACACACTCCTTTACCTCGCTAAGCCAGAAATAATACTGGTGAAGAGGAAAGGTTGGGCATGAGGTTAGCAACCCCATCCTGTAAAATAAACACTGCTACAGAAACTTCAGGCCACTAGCTTGAAGCCCTATGTTCCACTGGGGAACGTGAAAGGATAAAAAAAAAAAAAATAGCAAGTCACTAGCGAGCATCAGATTAATTTTCTATAGTTGGTTGTACTGGGTTCGAACCCCAGTGGGCGCGTACTGCCGATGATTCCCAAACTAGGACAGATGAAACAGCTGCCCAGTACTCCTGGTTTTCAGTGGTTCTCTAACTTATAACAATCCGTGATCAACTCGTAAATAACCCATTTCTAATGTTTTCGTCTTCTAGAATTTTATTCTTTTTATTATTATAATAATAAAGCTTTATTTCAGACAATATGTGAACATATATTACAGAAATTTTCAGCGTATTTAATTCCAAAATATCTCCCCTTCATACAGAATTTCTATGTAAAACAATCATCTGAAGTACATCATTTGTGTCATAGTGTCGCTGCATGTGAGGAGAGAACCAATTCTGCTCATTTCTTTGTTCAATTCCTTCAAGAATTGCATAGCATATAGTGGGAAACTAACTAAATATACGCGCGAGTTCATGAATTGATGATTTGATATAATTGCACGATTAAAACAATAAGAAATGCAGAAGCATTTTGATGGATTTAAACTCTGGTAGCCCAGTGGTTTAAGCAGGTTGTCGTAGTATGAGTCACTTATTATTATACTTAGCTTGAAATCGGTTCTCGCATTTTCAGAGACATAAATTTGTAAAAGGTATTCGAAAAGGAAGTAGCTGAACCTATTTAGTAGCTTTCAAAGTTTACTCGGAATAATAGTACATTATTGCTTCAGTAGAGAATGGAGTCGTAGCGACTAAGTCGCCATCTCTCTAAACTGTTTTCACCTCATCCTTTCATCAGTATATGTCGTTCAATATATATATATATATATATATATATATATATATATATAATCTATTTTCATTGTCCTTCTTAGGTTCTTAATTCTAAAAATAATGAAAATACAGCCATAATGGACGTTTGGTGTGATGTACTGCTTTCGTTTGTGGACAGTTTTACGAAAGCCACTGATGCTACTTTTTCAACCACTCGAAACACTTGTGATGTTAGTGGTGATAATCACCGTCATAAAGAAGAAGAGGAACCAGAACAAGAACAAGAGGATGATAATAGTGAAACTGCATCTAAAACTTCATTAACACCGACAAGAAAATCATCATCTACTGTTGTAATCGATTCTTCTACTTCTTTTTATAATGATAAATCAGATGAAATTTTTAATCTACTCATTAAACGTGATTTTCTTCGTTGGACTATGCAACAGTTATCAAGGATTTTAATATTTATACACCAGCGTAATTCTAGTCTATACTGTCAACCTATGAACTGTGATTCATTTGCTGTTGTTGTTGCTGGTGGTGGTGGTGGCAGTGCTAGTAATAGTAGTAGTTGTTGCAGTAGTGGTGGTACAACATTACCGTCAGTAAATAAATTATCACCTTCAAAACCGCCTATTCATCCATCTTATCATCGATTACAACCAATTATGGTAAGTTTTATATAAATATGGCTTGCATATACACTTTAGGTGCTTTAGTATCTCATGAATTATTAGTAATATATGTGTTCTAAACCTTTGATATATCACGACGGGCTTCCATCATAGAAAGATGGTAGAAAGACGAAAATCACCAAGTCTAGGGTCTAGCATTACCGCCTAATCAGTCATTTTAACTCTCCACAGGTCTACATGTGTCGGTGGCACAGTGGTAAGATGCTCGCCAACCACGCCACATGTGGTCTGGAGTTCGATCCCAGGCCGACTCACTCCATTACCTACCTTTACTGCGAAGAAGATTACATAGCTCAAACTAGTAAACCGGGATTAACTAGATTAATTCAACGTGATAATTCCCCTAAACCTAAAGTGATTACATTGTACTGAGACCCAGTGCCCACGTTCTGCTCTTATATCAATGTATGCGCATTTATGTGTGCTGTGGACCTCAGTGTCCGGCTCAGGTGTGACAGTTGTGTCAGGAGAATTTGAGTGTCGGACAAAAGCCCACGACGTCAGGAGCAGGGTTCGAACCTGCGCGGGGAAACCCCATTGGATTTCAAGTCCAACGCCTTAACCACTCGGCCATCCTGACACGATGACGGCGCACACAACCAACACCCACTTCTACACACTCCAACAAAAACACTAACACACCCAGAAAACAATCAACCATCCAATCAATCAGTCACTCACTCACTCAACCAGTCAGTCAGTCAATCATGACACAGAAACGCTCACGCTCGCTCATCTATTTAGACATGTGTATATTTACATGCATGCACTGACACATTCACACACAACTACATACACTGAATTCACAACACAACAATCGCCACACACAACAAATCATTCACCTGCATCCCCGATATCTTCACTCAACACCAATTGACGAAATCATACCATAGTCATCGGTTGACATACCATCTCGCATGTGCTCTGCACTGCACTGATCCACACTCGCTCACAACACTACACTTCACACGTGGTCATGTCTCTTCATCACCTGACATCATTCATTACACTCACCGCTCACTGTGATATCCGACAGTGAGATGCTCAACACCTGCGTCTAATGTCCAGTTGGCCGATGGGATGTCATGCAATGACAGTGACTCGAAGGCACATCGAGGTGGGGGTGTGGGTGGGTGGGGGGCTGTTGTCGAAGTGAGTGGCATGCAATCGTGTGCAATGTGAATGAATGTGGTGTAGCCGAATGTAATCCGAATAAGTCAGTGTAGTTGGGATTGTCGTTGTCGTTTCGTTGTCGTAGTTGTTGTGGTGTTGGTGTTGGTGGTAGATGTTTTGTGCTAGAGTGTGTGTTTCTGTGTTTGTGCATGTATTTGTTGAGATTGGTGCGAGAATGCATGTTCAGTGGTTGATAATATTGTCCTAGTCCGGTACAAATATCTGCTGAGAATTTTCCCACCTGGTTTGATTTGCCTGTGAGACAATTAGATCTGATTGGCATTCGATGTGAGAACAGTTGTCTGAAGATGTGTTTGCTCGTTTGGGTTGATGTGAGTCAGTGTGAGTGTGAGTGTGAGTGTGTGTGTGTTTGCTGGATATATTTGCAAGTATGAATAGTGGATGGCTGTGGTGGTGAGGATGTACATGGCGACAGTGAGTGTTGTGCACATCAGTCGATGTAGAGGAAGGTCGAATCACATATCCATGTGACACGCTGATTTGGGAGAGTGGTTATCGCGGTTGGACGACGACAATTATGGTTGCATATGGGACGGTGGATGCAGATTCTGTGAGTGTGTGTCTGTGTGCGTGCCAGCGTGCGTGTGTTGGTGTGTGTGTGTGTGTGCGTGTATGGGTGCGTTTGTACTTCGAATGACTGGCTGTTTCGGATGTGGTATTTGTGGAGATTGTTGTGTTGTCAGTGTTGGCTGGAGGGTGGGTGCAGTCGACTGATGCGTGCATTGTTCAGGAAGGTATTTGTATTGATTGTATATAGGTGTAATATGGGTGTGTATGTTCCATTATGGCTAATTTTTTTTATTTTGATCAAATCCCACTGTGTTATACAGCAATATTTACTGTTGACGTTTCGAGCACAATGTATTGCTCATAATTATATCAAGTTAGACCCACACACAACCATCTAACTTCATTTATTTATTTGCATAACATTTCATCTCTTGATCTGGTTGGTAGGAGTATTTTCCATATCTCTGGTATTAATGATGAGTACAATAAATTGTTTTGTACACACATTGGTGTACGTGTGCGCGCTCGTAGTTTTACGTACAGCTATCACCTCAGTGTATTTCATTTTGGTCTCTGATGATCTTTAGAGATAATCTTGATAGTCTGTCGTCTGCGTATATTGGTGTTGCGAATTTCGATTGTTTTTCAAGTCATTTTGGGTGTATGCTCTACCACCCCCACGTCTAGTGAGCGTTAAAGACTAAGATTAACTCATTTAACTGTCATTTTCTTCAACCAGAATAAAACAGTCTTCTAAATGACACCAATAGTAAGATTGTGCCGAATTTTGAATTGTGTTTTTATTCCTTTACATTCCCAGTGGAAAATAGGGCTTCAAGCTAGAGGTCTGAAGTCTTGGTAGCAGTGGTATTTATTTTCACCGGACGGGTTTGCTAGCCTCATGCCCGACCTTCCCTCTTTACCAGTCTTGTTACTGGCTTAGCGAGGTAAAGGAATGCGTCGGCTGGGGATCGAATCCCGAATCACGTGTGGCGTGGTTGGCGAACATTCCCTCCGCTGTGCCACCGACGCACTTTGAATTGTGTAGGGAGTTATAACTGTCAAATATGATAATTTGCATCATTATCTATCACCATCTTTCTGTTTATTTGAATGATATCAGGGTAAAAAATAATTATTGAATCATAAAATCTAATTAAAAATATACTTCATTAATTTTCTTTTTGTATTCACCAGGGTTGTTTATCCACTGTACTCTTCTCGTTACTACGATTACTGACAAAATCTAGTTGGATAAAATTTCTCGACTCTGTATATGAAACTGAAGAATCTTGTCGGTGTAGTTATTGTCATAATCTACAACTTGTGGGTATTTATGATTTTCTGCATGAGTTATTCAATCTCTTCTGTTTAATGCATTTATATCCGGCTTATCCATCACCAATGTTTCGGTCAAGATCAGATAGAATCTGGGCAGTCGGTAGGTATTCATGGGAGGATGGTAGTTATGCTGATGATAGACGATCAGAGAATTATGATCAAAAGTTGATATCTTCATCATTATCATCACCTCAACAGAATAATTTATCGAATATCTCGTCTATGAATCAGCATAACAATGCTGAACTATTCTCTCAGTCATGGATTGAAATGTTGGCGTTGATATCGAATTCTGAATTGGATGTTATTGAAGTACTGATTGAACTTGCTATTAAACCATTTTTCCTTGATTCTAAATTGGATAATAAGGTGAGATTATTTTGTAAAGTAGATTTTATTATTATCTGTTTGTAATAACCTCAATAACATTGTGTCATATGATTGATTTTGTTGATTATTGTAGTTCCTTTGGGTTCTGAGTGGAACATAAGGCTTCAACAACACATCTCCACTTTGTTCTATTTTCTGCTGTCCTCTTTATCTGGGTCCATGATTGCTCATAATCTCTCATCTCCTTCACGTCACCCTCGGACGACCCAGTTGGCATTTCCCATTCGGGTTCCTTCGATTGATGGCCTAGCGCGCGATGTCATTCGACGGTCTCCTCAGTGTGTGCCCAATCCATCTCCATTTCCTCCTACTTATTCGTTGAACGATAGATTCTTGATTAGTTTGTTCCCATGTAACAACAGAAGACAAGGGCCATGCAACAGATCGTTTATTATGGAAAATCAACACATTTATAGATTTTAATGTACATTATTGTAGATTATTGTCAGTAGAAAATACAGTCTTTTGATTGGTTGTTTCTCACAGAAAGTTAACCTTGCATCTCTTTGTGGCTGTGTCAGATCATCCATATGCTAATTGTATCCGCCTACGCAAAGCCTTTGTTCTCATTTTCTCACCACCAATATTGTGGACATAAACATTGACGTCAATTACTGTCTACCAACTTTGGCTAGCAGCCAGCTCTCACCACACCCACAGTTTCTTGTTGCTAATTCTTTCCACCAGCCATTTGATCTTCAATATGGAGTCAGAGAAGGCAGCTGTTGATAGGAGTCTGCAACAGTTTGTTGGAAAGGCTTTTCGTGACGCTCAGTGCAAGTTTCTCACCCATCTAGAAGAACTGACTGACTGGACATTGGTGTTAAAAGTCCTAATCTTGTTCTTCATGTTGAGTAATTTATCTGTTGCTTAAAATGCTTAATGTGTAACTTATAATCTCATAGAAATAAATAAATCTCGAAACTGTTGCTTTGCTAATCTTTGTATAAAGTAAATCAGAATAGAATTATATTTTATTATAATGTGCCAGTTGTACTGTTATCCTTAATGAAACCCTCCTTACAGTTGAGTTGTGCACTACTGCAGATAGACACTTTACGGATTACTGTTATAACGTTTTTGAAGATTGAGATATATAAACAAACTAAGTATTTCAGCTCTCTCCAGATTTTGTTGGTATCTGAACTCAAATTTGAGTTGATAACTATTTCACTATCATGTGAGTTCAAATGGAATTCGCACTGTGCGGAGATATCTTCATACATAGAGTTCATATTGATCTGTGTGTATATTTCACTAGTTGAATTAAAGTGAAACTACACAAACCAGACATTCCCTTACAGACCGAACACTCAACTATAATAAGTAATAACCCAATTACTCCCAAAATAAACTCTGTGCAGATATTCTTTAAAATAGTTCAAACACACTGTAGCACCACGGTGTTGAAGAGAATGGAGGAAAAATACCTACTAACCGTCTTCAAAAAGAATGGATATCCTCACAATTTCATCAAAAAGTTTTTAAACTGAAGTCATAACACCAGCAAGAAACCATCATCAAAGACTGCCACAATATGTAAAAAAAATAACAGCCAGAATATTAAGGCCGTTTGAAATAGATATAGCACACAAGCAAGCACAATCACTTCATTCGATATTGTGCAAACTAAAAAATCCAATAGAAAAAAGGAAGATAAAATTAACAGCATTCACCAAATAAATTTTATGAAGTGCAATAAACACTACATTGGTCAGAATGGGCATCCCCTTCGAATCCGAATCCAGGAACACAGATTGGCTGTAAAAAGACATGATATATGTTCTTTCGTATCAATGCATGTAGATAAATACGGACACGAATTTGATTGGGATAATGTTGAAATTTTAAATAGAGGAAACACCAAAAGTACTGCCAGGGAAGTTTTAGAAGCCTGGTGCTCAAGTGAATCGGCAATTAACAAACACATTACTATAGACCAAATTTACCAGTTAATGAAAGAGTAAATCACATGAGAAGAAAGTTCGAATTCCAAGTCATTAAAAATGATCAATAAAGATGTAAATTGACAACTAATCACAACAATGGTTGTGAGGAGATACAATTATATCAACAGTAATGGAGAATTCAAATAAATTCATTTTAATACTAAAACCTGCACTGAAGATGTTGTGTCTAGAAGGATGACGAAAGCTCCCCAATCATATCGGCTAGCTCAGTGAACACAACTAATTCAATGAAAAATCCAAGTATCCAAATCACAAAATATTACCTATTTGTGAATATATCGACTATCATGAAGATTACTGTCTATTCTACTAATCTTATACATGCAAGGAATTAGCTATTTTCGACATCAATGTGATTGCAACCTCTTCCAAGTGAAAGCTTATCCATTGTCTTTTTCACTCGTTCCTACTTTTATAGATTACTTTGTTTTTGTTATGTCTATGTACATTTAGTATGGTGACATGAATTAGTGATTGTGAAAAGCTTCGCGTATTGGGATATCTTCAATACTGGTTTATTCATGTTCTCATCATTGAGAAATTGTTCTCAGGATAAGCTTTGCTAAAGGAGGTATCAGTTAACTGTAGATTCAGTTTTGTTCATCTCCACTCATTGATAATGTTAGTGCATGTCTATCAGGTAGGTTTGACAGATGAATAAATGTAAGCCTTATGCACTGATGCGCGTAAATTGAAGACGTTCCATGTTGGAAAAACTGCGAAAAGAATTATAAACAAATATTTCTGGACAAACGTGCGTCGGTGGTACAGTGGTAGAATGCTCACCAACCACGCATATGGTCCTGGGTTCGATCCCCGGCCAGCACACTCCCTTACCTCGCTAAGCCGGCAATAAGACCGGTAAAGAGTAAAGGTTGGGAATGAGGCCAGCAGCCCCGCCTCGTAAAACTAAACACCACTGGTGCTGAAACTTCAGGCCCCTATCTTGAGGCCCCATTTCCCACTGGTGACGTATAGGAATACAAATTTTGAAAACACTAAATAGGATTTCTCCATTATGGATAAGATTTTATTTTGATAAATCACACAGTGTTACACAGTAATATTAACTGATGACGTTTCGAACTCAAATTATTGCTCATAATCATATCAAGTTACTCACACAACTTTTTCCTTCATTTATATATATGTATGGAATTGACCAGATATTTGAATAAAAAATCAATACGACATAATGTACATTCAGAGATAATAATATTGTAACAACAGAAGACACGGGCCAGGCAACAGGTCGTTTATTAAGCAAATCAAAGCATATTTATATATTTTCATGTACAAACACAGTCTTCCGATTGGTTGTTTCTCACTTAAAGTTAATCTTTCATCTCTTTGTGACTGTTTCTTGAAAGTCAGATCATCTATATGTTAACTGTATCCGCCTACGCAAAGTCTGCTGTGGTTGGTTTTGAATCAATCTTTGTTCATATTTTCTCACGACCAATCTTGAGAACGTAAACATTGACGTAAATTACTGTCTACCAATTTGGCTAGTAGACAGCTCTCACCACAATATGAGTGTTATTGACCAAATACAATTAGATGGGAAATAAGACGAATGTTCTTATAGTTATAATAAGTAACTTGTTAGAATGTTGTGATGTACGTGAATTGAAAGAGAATTTTGAGATTATTAATTATCCTCTTCTGATTTGAATGGCGGTAATAATATCTTCCATATTTCTGGTATTTGCATTGAGTCATTTCTGTTGCATGTGTTGGGTGTAGACTCAATGAACCAGGATTCAGTAATCAATCTCCCTCTCCACCTACATAGATTACTTCTTAGAATCTTAACCCTCTCCCACCCTATTGTGTGGTTGTGTGTTATTACATGTAGTGCAATTGCTGAGCCCAAGTTTTATACTTATATAAATAGAATTTCTAGACAAAAGAGGAATTTAATGAAATGTAGTAAACGTCCTTAGAATTTCAATCATGAAAACCAAAATGCATTGCACTACATTCATTAAGCTAAGGGACTTAACTCTTCAATGCAATTTATTGAGTTTACCTAATGTAGTTGTGTAGGTTGTCATTCGTAATATCATATATGCATTATATAACAACATAGTCATTGTTTTTTCCAAACGTTTACAATTTTTTTTTCTTAGTTTTTATTACATTCTACGCAGTCGTCATCATCCTCATCGGCAACAGCAGTCTGTCAGGCAGAACAATGTTTATCCACAGATATTATTGAATTACTTGCTCAGTGTTTAACTGGATTCGCTGTGGAACAAGCTCATTTATGCGTAGAAGCTCTGCCTCCTGTAACTCGAACTCGTATTGATCAAAGTTTGACTAATCACCATTCAATTGATATGCGACAAAGAGCATGTAATTTACTATTATCTCTATGGCATTCTATCGGTAAGTCTTGATTGCTTCTTCGACGCTTTATTTTTTATCTTCAGAGAAAAAATGTGTAGCTCGAACTAAAAATAAGTGCTGCTATATTTAACATTGAATGTCTGATCATTATCTTTAGTGATGATTAGGGATTTAATTGTTTTGTGTTTCGTCTGTGATAACCTCTAATTTGATAGTAATTTTTAGTAATTTTTTCTAAAGTACCGTTGTAACATCGTCCACTTACACGATTGCTATATTCATCTCAGCCATAGTTATCTACATTTATTGAGATCTATGCACGGCATTCAATTCATGGGAATTGTTTACACTTATTGCTTAGTGTATTTTTATGAAATCAAGTGGTCATAGAGGAGACAGAGGTGATTAAGATAACCAACCACCAACAACAACAACAAACACCAGTGACTATTAGTGGAAGAAATGTGAACGAGGTCACTTCTTTCACTTATTTGGGCAGCATCGTTTCAACTACAGGCGACACAGATGAGGATGTCAAAGCCAGCTAAGATTGGAAAAGCAAGACAGACATTCATTACTTCGAAATCAGTATGGAAATCTGATGCAACCAGCATAAAGAACAAGATTCGGGTTTCCAACACTAATGTCAAGTCGATCACTTTTTCTGCATGGTTCAAAAACTTGGCCCGTCACGAAAAGCATTTCTAACAGACTGCAAACTTTTAACACTAGCTATCTTCACTGGCTCAATAGTGAAGATCAAATGGCCGGTGGAAGGAATTAGCAACAAGGAACTTTTGGGACAAACCAACCAAGAACCTATTGCCCAACAAATATTCTGAAGGACATGGAGATAAGTCGGATACACAGTGAGTTGACCGTTGAGTGGTATCACCAAGTGTCAAGCTCCCGAGTGGGAAACAGCGAGTTGGACGTCCTCGGGTGACATGGAGGAGGAGATGAGAGCTTGTAGGCAATTGTGGAGCCAGCTTCAGAAGACTGCAGATAACAGGATGAAATGGAGATATTCTTCTGAAGTCCAATGTTCCACTCGGAACCCAAGAGAACAGTAATAATAATAACAACAATACACTAGAATCATGTATTGTTTTAACGAGTAATGAAATCGATTCAGGGAAATATTCTTCTCCTATTCATCAGATATATTAGATCTGATTTGTACTGGATGTTCTACTTTGTGATAATTTTCAGACCATGCGCTAGTGGGAAACATGATTTAAAATTTTTCTGTGTATGGTTGAGCTTGTTGAAGCCTTTCTGTCTTTTGTGTTACCACAACATTGTAGAGTTGTTTGGAAATGTTTTGTAACAAAAGTGACAGTGTATTCAAAAAATTCCCCATAGTGTTTTCAATTGACATATATTTTTATTGACTGCTCGATCCCCCTGTGTGTGTTTTTGTTCCTCAAAGGTTTGTGACTGTAAAGATAGTAATTCGTAAAATTTGAAAGGAAAACATGATCCTTTTTTAATGATACAAATTGGCGTTCAGTAGCTTAAGTGTTTAACGCGTCACCATAATGTCACAAATCTAGTCTCTCTATCCTTTCACTTAGTAGTAATTTAGTGTGAGGAATTGTGATACTACTAGACTGTTCAGACAGTAGTGGACGGATAAAGCTTAAGCTAATGAATCCATCAGTCTTCGATTTACGTCAGTAAACTGCTGTTCACAGCAAGTATTGCATCAATTAGTTGGAACGTCTTGACATGAGAACACAAATCGAGCAAATAATTAGCATATTTTGAGGAGTAATGTAGAGAATTTATTCATATACATCATAAATTCACTTTCACAACGTTTCGCGGCACAGATTTCATTCCTACTGTCAACCTGTCGTTTTAATTTGAACTGAATTCATCACTTCACTACATAAACATCAATTTGTTAATCTAGAACTGTATTAGAGGACCTCATTACCAGTGTAATCTTCTCTCTATTGATTTCAACATCAAGTGCACTCGTCATGAAGTGATAGCTGGTATCTTCTCCAGTCTTATTTCCTGATTCCTAACTCACACAACACCAAAAATCTAAGCTATTCACATGTTTTCCAGTTGTCAATAAACCATCCGATATTTACTGGTTTTTGAATCTACTATGCATTAGTAATCGCTTGCAGCATAAGTAAGTACAATTGTACATAGATTGCCTTAAGACTATTTATTGTCCCTTTTAAGTTTAACTGGAATGTAATTTGTGTATAGTATCATTGTCATTGTAATTTTCAACGTTTTTTTTTCATCTCAATTACTCTGTATAGACGATCGTTCAAAAACAAATTATATTCAAATTTTCCTTCCAAATGTGATTAATATGGCTACATTACCACTTCCAAGTAAGTTGTTATGCATAAATAGCACGAGGGCATTATTCCTTTCCCTTTTTATTAATGAATAATTTTGTTCGAAACGCTTTTTAGTCTTTATGACACATAACCACAATTGTCAAGGAACTTAAGCCTAAGTTCCTATTATTTCCGAAGACGCTCAAACCGACAATTACTATGAACGATATTGACCTTAATTCCAAAACACAAGGAACCAGAAGAATTTGTATTGTTTGGCAATTAAAGTCAATACTCTGTACAAAGTCTATAAACAAATGTTTTACAAGGAATGTATTGTACTTTTATTCGTATTCTTTCGTCTTCTTCCAACTTGTACACAATTGAGTCATTCGCGCCTTCGAGTTGCCCGCCAATGGCGACCAAGGCCAATGAACCAACGTTCAATGTTCACATTCATTTACAACAATATTATCCAGAGGAGGTAGTAATGTTAATCATATCACCACCACACCTTAGAAGTGAGAATAAACACCCCAGAAGCTTAGTGTTCCTAGCTATCCGTAAATATATCTACTAATACTGGACCTACTGGTGATCCTATCGCTTGTTTGAATATTTTATCTTAAAGTGTTAAGACTGTAGAATTCGGACATAATTCAATACTAAACGTTATTTCTTCTGCTGATAACCCAGTTCTGTATGAGTTCAGGATCAGTATTTTGATCGTTCCTAACCTGAATTAACTAGATTATTAGTGTATAAATATGTCACATCAGAAAGCATCATTTTTTCATCCTTTTCTATTTGAATTTCTTCTCAATTTCTTTCATTTTATTTGCACTAGTTAGTCTAGAATTAGAATGATGTTTATTAGAACAAATTATTGGTGGCGGCCTGCTTAAATTTGGGCTACCGAAAAATCCCATCGATATTTCACAGATATTTTCTCCCGTTCAGTTTGTTTAAATCTGATAAAATATGACCTTTAATTACGTTTTATACTCTGGTGAGTATTTAATGTGCTTACAACTTGCTGATTCGCAAGTTTCTAGTTATCGTGAGGGAAAAACATAATTGTGGGTTGGGGCGTATTGCAATGCAAGAGATAGTTGTTCTTGGGTTGTCTGTCCTTGGTTCACAGAGGGGATTCCTGAAACTTTTCTAATTGTCATTCAACCAAATTACATACATTTACCGAAGAAGACAAAGGAGAGACATCATAATTTCTTGGTTTGCACTTCACGTCAGGCAGAAGTGTTTCACTTAGTCTACGGTCACGTGATATTTTATTTGAAGAACCTGGATAAAAAGGAAATATCATGCAATAAACTATGCTGTACAAAATGAAGCTATTACTATTATTATTAATTTTTAGGCAGCTGATATACTGTTGTGTTTTTGAACTCAACTAACAGCTTAATAGGATTTTTCGCTCTGTGAACTTAAGCAGTACTATACATTTTGCTAGGACTAGTAGTTTTATGCAATAAATTAAGCCATTTTAACTCACTCAAACATGGCTCCTTTGAACTTTCTGACGTGATTTCATAACCGTATCTGTAGGGTTTCTCAATCTCCTCTTATTGAACTGTTTGAATGTGTTCATTGACTTTATTGATATAATCTGATTTGTATGTATGGCCACTGCCTAATTATCTGATATATAGACCTAATTTTCTACATGTCATTTTCACATGTCTGTTTGTATTTCTCTCACCACACTTATTGATTTATGACCTGATTTTCTCTCATCGTACTTATGACCTTTGAAATCTTATTGGTTGTTCACTGTCCCAATTTATCAATGGCATTAGTGCCTCTGAAGGTCATTTTAAACATATGTATATACTGTTGTTCTAAGACAGTAAGAGCTCCCTTATCAACGTCCATTCTTTTCTTCTGTCTTTGCGGCCTGGTGGTGTTATTGTTGTTGACGTGCGATTAGGATGGACTACCCAGCGCATTAAGTTAGTATTCTCTCATAGTCTATTAGGTCGTAGTTCCGGTCATAACAGTATCCTCAACAGATTTAGCAATGCTTTTGTTCTCGTTTCATACGTTTTCAGGAGATAATAACAGTGAATACCATATCAGACAAGGTTGTTTATTGTATATTTTGAATGGAAAACGATGATTTTAGTTTAAGTGAGGCGTTGTGAATAAGAATTTAGTTGACTTTGGCTGTTAGAAGTCTGTTCGCACATATCCTTGATCTCCTCCTGTTTTCTGCCGTGTGCATACTCTTTTAGCATTATCACTTATGCTATGTTAGTTGACTTCGTTGAATAGCCAGTTCTAAATAGACTTTGTTTTTGTAAATTTCCTGGTATGTCAACACTTTTTAGTCTAATCGCGTAATTTTACCCTCCACAATCTGTGAGATATCCTAAAATTATTGCTGTAGCTAAGTATGTGAACAATTTTCATGTTATATATATATATGCTATTTTCTCTATATCATTATAGAAATACGTGAAATGTGTGTAGATTGTATATTGAGTGCATTGACTATCCATTCATCCACTGTGGAGCATGTATTCGTCAGTGAAATTGATCGTGTTGTTCAATGGGCTGGTACAGATTTTGCTGCAGATATTCGTGATCTTTTACAGAGTCGTTTGTTGAACAGTAAAAATTCACTACAAACACTTCAACGTACCACTGCTCACACTACACCTGAAGATGTACACTTAGATCATAGACAACGTGTTGTCAATGATTTCAGTAAACAAATTGACTGTCTTCTGCACTATGGTAAATTTATTAATCATCCATCACAGATGAATGAAATGTTGGCATTCTGTAATCTAAGAGTAAGTTATCTTGTCTCAATTCGGTTATTATTTTTCGTTTCCTAATTCATGAACAGTACTCCCTGGTTTTCAATGGTTCTCTAGCTGATATCAATCCGTGATCAACTCGTAAACTAACACTTACAAACCAAACTATAGAAAATTCATGAATAATTGGACTAATTTCCCCTACCCGCTCCACCATTAATTATTAATAGCTGAAATCTATGTCTACATAAAGGCTTTGTGATAAGCATTATTCATAGCACAATTATTCTTCGTGAAAAACATTCTTTTACCTGCATAAGACTGACGAATTTGGAATCTCGTGTTAACGTAGGGAAAATGTTCTTCCACTCAAGCCTACCGCCATTTACTGAGAATAATTGGAGATTGCCTACTTATAAGTAGTCAGGTGTATATGGATAGAAAATAACTGCAGAATATTCGCATTTCTTTTCGATACTAATGTGTATATGACACAAGCATTCAGATTCTATTCAGTCACATGTATTAGACTTAATTTTCAGTACAGTAATTCATTCATTAGACACTGTTGAATGAAAGACAGCCATAATGTATCATCTGTGTTCAACGAATAACCAATCTGCTTAACAAAAGTAAATCAAGGAAAGACTAGAGTCTGAATTACTAGTGTCCATCAACAGAGATTTATCCATGTAGATGTTTGGTCGTTTCATCATCACAAGTAATTATAAAATATGAATATCAAAGAATAGAAAGGCGTTACTATTCTAAATCTCCCTTCTTGAATTTATACAGAATTTCACAAGAAATCTAAAGCAGAAACTCCAGCCGTGTTCACAATGCGAGTGAAAAGTGGCCTGATACCTCTTCAGAGTTACGGTACCGAGATGTAAATCACTAGTACGGTGCAAGATGCCTGGTAAAACCTGAGTCATAACTTCGTTTAAGGATAAAAACCTAGTCGATTTACGGATGACATGGACTCGAATAGAATTAATTTATCGAATACCATACATTCACTTAGGTTCATTCAGTCAATCAGAATCATTTGGATTACCGGAAAGTCAGAATTGAATTGAAATAAGTGACCCCCAGAAATACCCTCCGGGATTTGGAAGCATTCACTAGTCCACGACTACACTACAGGTTGTTATGAGTTAACACTTGTCGAATTCACTGTATTTTTGATTTGATGAAACGCTTGGTTGCTGAATCTTTGTTCAACGTGTCAACTCCTAACCCATGTGGTTCCACTTCAAGTTCCAGTAAACAATCAGAAATCAATTATTAAATAAAATTTATCATGAGCTGTCCTGACTGTAAAGTTATTGTATCTACCCCACTGACGTAGAAATGTTCCATAAAACGATAGAGTTCTGAGTGGTTTCTTCCACCTTGTGAAGGTTAATGACATTCATAACTTTGAGCTGAATATTTCCAACTCCAAAAAATGACGTCAACCTTAAGAACTGCATCCTCTGCTTTAGGTACTTCCTATTATTACATGTATAACATTGTTGCATCAAATGAGTAATTGTATCTTAACCGACAGCTACGCTGACTTTAATAATACCTTGGATAAAAAAGATACACACAAAAGGTGTAGTTGTTCTGTCACTTTTCAGTCTAAAACTTTTGCTTGTCTTGTCATTCTGACGTTATTTCAATGATTACAGGTCACTCCCATCTTGAAAAAAAAAAGAAAGTTATAGATAAAACCTCTTTTTGTTTCTCTACAGCCTAAATTACTGTAGTTTGATTTTTGTATTGTGTATTTCAGCGGTACTTTTTTGTAGTTCATGATTCCACTTACTGCACTAATGCAGTGGGAGGAGCTGCATATTGGTTTATTCCAAAGTCGTTGTTTTGTATTTCCACTGATTGTAGTTGACATTTCAAAAAACAACGTGTTTTTCTCTAAAGTACACTGTGCTTTTTTCATTCCTTGCCTTCCTATTGGAACATAAGGATGGTTTCAAACTTTTTTAAAGTTCCAGTGCCGTCGCTGTTGTCTTTACGGGGTGGAGTTGCTAGTTTCATTCCCAGTCTTCCCTCCATTTTCGGCTTACTATCAGCTAGACAATTTTTAGGAGTTGCAATTAGTTGTGTTCTCTGAGCTGGTGGGTTTAATTGCGGAGCTTTCGTCGTCCTTCTGGACAACATCTTCATAGCAATTTTTAGCATAAAATGAACTGATTTAAATTCTTCATGTTAACATATGTGTAAAACTTGGGCACTGTGGTATTAAGTAATTCCATATGAGTTTGTTTATTAGATATATCACACAGTGAAATAGTATTATTTACTGAATGACGTTTCGAACGCAATTCATTGTTCATAATCATATCATCAATTATAATCACACGACTTCGAAACTTGAGTTTTATAGTTTTCTTTGTACTCTCCTATTTGTCGTTGTTGGGGTAGTAGAATTTTCTAGATGTCTGGGGCAGGTGTTGGATCATTCCTATTACACGTGTTTGCAGTTGATTTGATAAACAAAGCTTCCGTTATCAATCTCTCCCTGCACCCTGTTGTGTTAGGCTTTACAACTGTCATTTTATCCCATCCCATTATATGGTTGTGTTGTGTGCAATTGCATGTAGTGCTATAGCTGAACTATTCTTATAAAAATTTCTTATCTTATTCAGCTCAGTTAATCTAGATTTTGTTAGGTTTTCGTGCTACACTAGTCTGATTGACCCCGTTCTACTACTTTGACCTATGTATTTGACCTGACAGTCATTCCAACAGGGTAGTAGATAAACTGTTGGATTCTTCGGTTTGCACAATATCGAATGAATCGATTAACAGACATGTCAACATTGACCAAATCTACCAACTGATAAGAAGTAAATCATGTGACAGGAAAGTCCAAAATCCAAATCAATAAAAAATGATCAATACAGATGTAAATCGACTACCAATCACGAAGATGGTTACCAGGAGACGCAATTCTATCATTCATGGAGTATTTAAATCAGTTCATTTTATGCTAAAACTTTCTCTGAAGATGTTGTCCAGAAGGACGACGAAAGCTCCGCAATTAAACCAACCAGCTCAGAGAACACAACTAATTGCAAATCATCCATCTGAGCTACAAATCTTCTCTATTATTTCAAAATTTTTAGGAGTACGTCTGCTGGAAATCGAACCCGAACCTCTCGTGTGGTCGATGAGCATGTCACCATTGCACCACTGACGCACAGCTCCAAATACTTTAAAGTACATCACCATAGCTAATATAATTTTCTCATTTTGAGTACATTCTTCTTACTGTTATTATCTTTGAATGTCTATTTTGAGCTAAGAGGAGTCAACTTGCAAGATATTTAAACGTCAGGAAATATGATAAGCAATTACTGTAATAATTTTATGTTTTTTACTTTCATTTGAGTGTATATATTCACATTTTTCAGAAGTTTTATGAATCTATCAATCGTAAAGATATGATTCTACGCTATTTATACCGATTGGATCGATTACACGCTGCATATTCGAATAAAACAGAACGTGGATATACTCTGGAGTTAATTAGTGAAAATTACTCGGTAAACATTCTCTTTGTTTGTTTTTGTATGTGTATTCTTTTTTAAGTATCAGATTTTGTTCATCCATTTCTCTTCATATTTCTATTGAAATACTCTTAGTAAATTGTATATTGTTGTATTGTGTATGCAATATTCTTAAATGTCACTTCTCTAAGTTAGTTAAACGTTGAATCTGTTCTTGAACAAATTTCACTATATCATTTAATAAAGTATTTCAGTGTTCGAAGTTATGTAGAAATGTGTTTTATCGACTGGAACATTCAATTTCCAACTAATCCATACGTCTGAATCTCTCCGTCAACCTTGATCTGGTAACGTATTAGTGTCATAAAACCTCGGATACTAAATACAGCTTGTAGCTCAGCTAGTTGTGTAATTAAGATAGTTTGTACCATAATATCGTTAAAAATATAGCTTCGGATTTATTCACACTGTTGATTTTTTATTGGTAATAAGAGATTTTATCAGGTGATTGACTCGTCGACGCCAACTTCATTATCTCACCTCGAATGGACTCAGTGACAGCCTCAGTAAAAAGGTAACCGTTCTGTGAGTATAACTTTGTAAATCTTCAACAACACTCATCAGTCAGCCGAATTCAAAAGTGAAGCAGAATCAGAAAGTTAATTATCCCTCCTAGATGTCCAGCTTACAAGACGATCACACTGAAGCCTACAAAGATCAATCTACCATAAACCAAATGGAATAGACAGCCGACAAACTATCAAAGTTTTGACCCAATGAGCAGAAAAAGAAATCTCATTGCCTCTTTTGCGACGACAGTCTACCGTATATGCAATGAAGACGCACCTAACAAGGAATTGGAATCCTTCAGAAAAATGTAATCAAAATTGATATCCAACCTCCCTTCATCGATAAACATCTAAAGATAAAGACCAATAATCCTTGAAACCTGGATGTGTCGAAAGAACAACTAATTGTAAATCTGAAATTCAAGGTAGGTACGACCAGTGAAGTACTCCGAAGCCACCTGCCGACAGCGATTCGAAGAACGTTCTTTACTACATCTCTGCGCCCCACCTTCACACATGCTGTCGTTCACCAAAACGTTGAAGACAAGATTCCGTTGTTGGGAACTTCAGTGTATATTTACCACTTCGCTTCCTCCTGTGGAGCTAAGTACATAGACCGTACCAGCAGGACATTGCCTTGAGAAGCGCATGAACATTTACCAACATGGCTGTCAAGAGCAAAACGTAGAGCAGTCAGCAGCTCAATTCTGATCATGCAGCATCAGGAGAGACTTCTGTCAGAGTCTATATAAAGTCTAACCAAGTCGTTCGAAAGGATTTATTTCGCCTACATCTTCTTCATGCAGCTGAAGCCTCAACAATTCATAAGGAGAAACCTGAACTTTGTCTGTAGAAACGTTTCATCCAGCCAGCTCTTTTACTATCATAGCCTTAGTAGTAATTTCTTTTTTTCTTCCTTCTTTGTTTTCCTGAATAACTAACTATGTAGTCCATTTTATGTTACTATTCTACAACTCATTTTCAATCTTTTGTTCTCGTGTCTCTTATTAACTATTTCCAAACGATTATTCATCATAAGAAAAAGACGTAAACAGCGAAGAAAATTTTCTTTTCGACGATTCATTTTCATGAGCTGTACATTCGTAATTATATTTAACAACGAAATCATTAGACCAATCAGATGCTGATGAACTTTGTCCTCGAAAATTGCATTACGTAATGTAAGGTGCAACCTAGAAGGGATGATTAACTGGAAGTTAGAAAAGAGGCAGAAGTTGGCATGACGCAATAAGTGTGAGATAATGACTAATCAGTAAGCTCGTATAGAATGGACAGGAACTAGTGGAAAGAAGATAAAGTGTTTTTATATAAAATCCGTATGAAAAAGCAGTGTTATTAATAAAGAGTAATAGAGTGGTAATGAAATATGGATGATGGGAATAATAATGACAATAAAATAATAGTAGTAATAACAATAATAATAGTAAACTTACACAGTAAAAAGAAGAAGCAAAATCATAGTAAGAACTTTACTCTGGACACGGTAGGGCGAGTGAATGTATGTAACGCTTTTGAATGCAGAGGTCCGGTTTCAGTTCCCGAATAGCTAATGCTTCAGCTATGTACAGATAGCGTATGCGAAGTCCCTTTGTACGATATTGAGGGACTCTGTGTAGCACTGTGAAACATTCATGCGGGGTGCTCGATGTCCGGAGATGACAAGGTGTTCGAGGATGAATCTGCTGCTATTCTTCTTTACTCCTCTGGCTAACCAAGTTGAACAATGTTCCACAATACGTTTGTGGACTTGACGTTGTGTACGGCCGATATACTTGTCAACCCTCTTGATTATGTAAGACTATTCCCAACTTTTCAAACATAGTCATTACTTATCCACTTTGATTTGCTTTATTACTAGCTGACAAAAACTTTTGACCTCTGTTGTCAATCTATATTGCATATATAAATATCCTAAAATAACTGTACAGTTTTGAAGTGAAGTTACGAAACGAGATCTCCTTGCTGACTCATATATCTTAATTACATGAAATGGGAATTTTCATACTTTGATGTCAAGATGTTTATGTTCAAATTAACTACCATTATGGAGCTATGTGGCTTATTGGTCTAGGCGCTGTTTTTCTAACCACACTGCAGGGGTTCAATTCCTGTTCCGCCTGTCGAGGTTTCAGTAGCTGTATAGTATCACTAGTCTTCACGCAATAGATGTGGCTCATTGCCCATCGCATGCAATTGCAAATGGTCATATTTTATTTTAACCATTGTAATTCTATTATATCATGATATTTATTTCTATTCCCAATGCGGTTCATACAATTAAGGGGTACTTCAATCTCTTTTGGTGCTTTTCTGGCTATTCATTTCTTCTGTACTCTATCCTAACGCTAATACATGAACTGGATTGAAAGTATCCAGTGTATATTTCTAGATCATTCAGATTCGTAGTAACAAGTTTGAGATAGAGCGTTATCCAACTATATCGTGGAAAACACCCATATGGACATTAGAAAGAAGAGAACACGAAGTTCAGCAAAGATATCTTTTCGGCGATTTCATTTTCAAAAGCTGTACAATCGCATTTAAATACATAATTTTACATGGATACAATTCTTGTTTGATTCCACATAATTACGACGGCGAATAAAAGGTGATAATTATTTTCAACTAGATATGGTTTACGAGAGGCTTAGAAACAAAATTACACAGGATTAGAACGGATGACAAGTGTGTAAAAATGAGCATGGAAACAAATAATAATTTTAATTTTATATGGAAGTTAGGTGTGAATATAGATTACAATTGCCTTAGAAACACAAAAATTGCACAGGATTAAGATATAATTGTAAAATAGTTATTTTAAACGAATTATAAATGTGAACAGGAAAAGCATGGAAACAAACTTAAAATAACTGTTTTTATAACTGAAAAAGTGGGGTGAATCGAATGAAGACAGAGGGAGTAAGAATCACACACACAGCGAACGAAAAAAGATCAAAAATGAAAAAAAAGAACGAAAGAAGAAAAAAAGGAAGCTAAGGGAACATACCGAACTAGGTCCATGGTAGTTGTAGAGGTTGGACTAATTTCTTTTGAACACACAGCTCCGGTTTCTCGATGCATATTGTGAGGGCTTCTGCAGTACAGAGAAGTCGGAAACATACTGCTTTTGGTAGGTTTCTGTTGACTTTGTAGATTACTTTGAAATAATCAGTTGAGATGTTGTGGGAGGTGTTGATCAGATGTTCAATAATGGCACTTCTGATTGAACTGGTGCCTCCTCTTTGCAGCCACGCTGGGTAATGTTCTCTAACACGTTTTGAAAGGACGCGCATACAACGTGTTAGAGAACATTACCCAGCGTGGCTGCAAAGAGGAGGCACCGGTTCAATCAGAAGTGCCATTATACATGGAAGTGTTCATAGCCTAAAACGAGTACGTAGATGGTCTTGTTAATTGTTAAATGAAATAAAGGCTTACTATACTATCGAGTCATTCATCGCATATTCAACAACTTCTATTGATGATTATCTTTGTCTATGAATATCGTTTTCTAAAAATAAAAAAAAAACATTTGAAAATATTTTCCCTTTCTTTTCATGTATCAGTGGGATGAAACCAGTGTTGATGTAAGTGATGTCTCTCCGCATTATGTACAATATGGACAAAATTCTTCACGTGAATTACGTGAACGTTTATTATTAGATAGTTTTGAATATTTAAAACAAGGTACAGATTGGGAGCATGCAATTGAAATATCAAATAAACTAGTTCATCTATATCGTGATGTTATGCCAAATTATGAACGTCTTAGTGAAATATTGGTAAGTTATGTTGATATATACTATATACATATATATGTTAATAACTGTGTCTTTCATACGAGTACTGACTCAGTCTTACTGTTAACTATCACAGATACACTGAGTTAGTGAATTTCATGTATAATCCCCATCCAGGCATTAATGAAGACAAAACGCGTAGATCAGCGAAGAGTCTCTTTTCGGCCAATTCATTTTCTTAGCTGTGCAATCACTAATATATATGTGTGTTATTTTGTATGTATGTGTATGTATTAAGTTTGTCAAACAAAACAAAAATACAATTGGTTATGGTTATTTTAACTAAACAGGTGAAGATTGGTAATTGGAGTTACGTAATACAAAATTAGTCAAGAAAATTAGGTGTTAATGAAATTAGGGTAGTAATAAAGGTGATGAGTTGTCACAAACAGTTGTTAAAAGAAGTTATGTAATAATATGAATAGTTTGATGAGTGATTTTTACTCAAAAAATCAAATCACATTTTTTTGATTTTGATGACTTAATTTTCTTTCTTTGCCTGTTCTTTAATTGCATATAATTCTTGTATTTATTTAGGACTCTTACGTAACTTCGTGTTATCTACTTTGTTCCTATATGCATCCTGAGTAAAACTCACTCATCAAACTATTCATAGTATTACATAACTTCTTTTAACAACTGTTTGTGACAACTCATCACCTTTGTTACTACCCTAATTTCAATAACACCTAATTTTCTTGACTAATTTTGTATTACGTAACTCCAATTACCAATCTTCACCTGTTCAGTTAAAATAACTATAACCAATTATATTTTTGTTTTGTTTGACAAACTTAATGTACACATACATACAAAATAACGCATATATATTTGTGATTGTACAGCTAAGAAAATGAATTGGCCGAAAAGAGACTCTTCGCTGAACTACGGGTTTTGTTTTCATAAATGTTTTCCTGACAGCATTTGTTCACAGTATAAAATTCTCAACACGTTTTGTTGTAAAATATATCACTCCTCTCACAGAATTTTTCAACAGAACAATTCTTGTAGAGCAAGACTGACAAAGATGAATTGAATTCCATTTCATTTTATGTGCTCTAAATCACTTATACACATGCATTAAGTCGAAAATGTGTGTGCAGTCTGATAGGTTAAGTTAGTTTGGTACAGTTCGGCAATAAAGTGAACATCAAATGAGTAATATAAATATAGGGATAAAAATGACATAGTTAATGACCTGATTATTCACCAAAGACCAAAGTATAAATCTTTATTAAGATGACAATCCATACTATAAATTTGACCGAGACAATAAAAAATAATACTGAATTTTATGAATTCACTGTATTTCTAAGAGTTAGTTTGTGGGGATGTCATTTGTTTTTCAAGTCTGACCGCGTATTGATATCATTTAGAGGACCACTGATAACCAGATGGTGTTGGAAAGCCTGTCTCGGGCGAGTTTAGAACTTATTGGCAGTGCGTACTCACCAGGTTTCGAACCGAGTTTTCTGCGGTTAAATGTTAAGCTTGTACATCATTCAGCCACTAGAACCCGACTGAATGGTCCACGAATTCCAACTTCTAACTCGTGATTTTACCGCTACCACTAGTCAGTTTCATCGGCGAGTATTTGTGCTCACTCCCGACTGCATCCACTGGGCGATTAGTCGCAGATTGTGGCGAAATAGCTGTCCAGTACTCTCTGGTTTTCAATGGTTCTCTAACTGATATCAATCAGTGGGTAAACTTGAAAAATAAATTGTTAAATACTGGGTTTTTATTTTAAATTTACTACGGAAAAGAAATCGTTTCAACATAATACTGATAAAGTGTAACTGGAATTCAAAGTGGCAGACTTTATTATACAACCGGCAGCTAAGTTGTGACAGATGTGCTATGCTGGTAGGGTGAAATATTGATAGAAGAGTAAGTGTGAGTATACTCAAAAACAAGATTACAATATATGAAATACGATGGATAGCGTAAAATGTTAGTCAGATGGAGAGTGTTTAAAGTTGACTAGAGGATAGAAGACAAAGTAGAGTGGTAAAATAAGGAAACAACAAATTAACAAGTCAATGCTAGGTGAACCACAAAATCTTTCTACATGCATAAGTTATAGGATTTCAAAAGCACCGCAAGGTATTCTTGTGCCTGCTAAAAATAATCATCCCTTAGGGGTGGCGTAAGACTACCTAGCAGAAGTAGTAGCAATCCGATGACTGGAACTTAACTTATACCTGAAAAATTATATATATGCACTAAACTTCCATGAATAGCTAAATGGCTAATAATGCCTGTTGGTGAGAGGCTAATAAATGTAGAGGCTATGCCGTGCACTTTTTATCTCTAACGCGTAAATGTCTTTGTGCCGTCTTATTATCGCTTTACATCTAAGCTTTGATTTGCTCTTTTTATCGTTTTCTAGCAAGAACAAGCTCATCTCTACCAGCATATTGTGTCAAGTGAACAGTCACGTCTACCATTTCGTTATTATTTAATTGAATTCTATGGTCCAGCTTCGTCATTAATTACAACTAATCGGAAATTAATTTATCGAACAGTATCAGATTTAGGCGATGTATTAAATATGCTAACAGAACAATTTCCTGATGCTATTATACTGAATCAACCGCTAACAACTAACAATCAGTCATCAGTAGCAGCTGATAAATTCTGTATATTTGCCAGTGGAAATTTAGAACCTGAATCAGAGATACCTGAACACTTAGATTCACGTGTTGTTGATAATAAAATAAAAAGGTAACGAATAATCGGGTATTGTCGTCTTAGCATATTTTAACTGTACGATTGTTTGTCATTTTAAATTCTGATAGAAAGTAAATAAATACTTAATCAGATCATGGTTTTTAGTCGATAATCTGATAATCACAGCCTAGTGTTCATGTTCTGACATTTCCTTGGCTCAGTACAGCGTGAATAGAGGTGCTCTGTTCTCTGTGGGCATTTTATTCATATTCTCTAGTATATACACGTGCAAAGTTAGGTTGTTTGTTTCCTTATTTTTTTTAACAGTATGGAATATCTTCATTGGACACTAGTAACCAGTGTGACGTGTCTAGTCCTTTCTTTGGTGCCAACTAGCACGAAACCTAGGTGGTCCAAGGCTTCCTGCCGATTGCCTCCAACTATCTAGTATGGAATATCATATTGTTATGTAGCTGTCCCCGATTTGTTATGATTGCGTTGACAGCTGATATGACCGAGTGGACTGTCGCCTGGGTATAATAATACTGACTCAATGAACAACACATCTAATATGCTAGATACGCTTATTCGTTCGTAGTACCTTGTGCCCCACTGAGCCGTGTACATATCAAAAGACAAATACTGGTCTGCGACATTTAGGATAAGGTTTTTTTCAAGGAAATAAACACGTCATATTTGTATATTTTTCCACATTAAAGTCGGCCCAGGGCAGTGGAAATGGACTGTTCTGATTGGTTGACAATTAGAACAAAACCAAGTTGAGAAATAGATGATGAAATTTTATAGTCATCCGATCACGTGGCAGTTCATAAGATGATTATTATTTTAAGCTGATTCTTATCACATCTTCTTTTAGGACTAAACCATCATATCATCAGGTTTTGCAATGGATATGTCATAATTTGGAATGATAAGATTGAGGTATTTCCTTAGATATTTTGGCTGTTCCATTAAACGTGCAACAGCTCATTATTTGAATGTCTGTTTATTGATGCCATATATTTGATTATTTAATACAAACTGTCTACCGTACAGGAATGTAGCCCTGTACACTATGATTCAAAGTTCGAAGACCAGGCAGTTCACTTGGTACTGTAGACAGTCATTCGTTGAATGTGGATCAGAGCCCACTCTACATAAAAACGCTGGCCTTGGTAACTGAGTGGTATAATCCTAAATGTATGGTTACATTTCTTGTGTACATTATGTTTCCTTTTACATGACTAGCTCTAGTTGGTTTCTCTACAGTTATATTTTTCACAAATGATTTCGATTTTTCATTTTTGTTGACAGCTACTACTCCAAAAATCGTGTCAAATACTTTTTACGTCATCGACCATTACAACCGACAGAGGTTAGTTGCAAATATCTTCGTTTGATTAGGTTTCATGTACACGCAAATGCACATCATTCCATTCATGTTTACTGAAAAGAATAGTGTGCCTATTTATATATATTATATATATATATATATTGTTTAAATTTCTTGACTGTTCTGTAGTATTATTATCTTGACTCATTCTGAATATATTGGTAGCTCTTACTGGTAACAGAAAAGATTTTTTTACCCCTTTTATTTTTCACTATCAGTTCAATTATTTAGTATTAAAACACAAACTTGGACACCAAGAGATACATCACATAAAATCTCATAGTTTGTGTGAGTGTTGGGATACCACCTGGATGCTCAAACCGAAGCAGGTGGTTGTCTTAAGAGGCCAACCCCCGAGCCTTTAACTTGATGAAGTCTGATCCATAAGGCGATGCAGCTTACGTTCCCATGGTTTTTGGTGACCAAAACAAGTTCATACACCATTCAATCCGTTCAGGTGCTGTAGCCTGTGTACACCATTGATTTCGAATCAGGATTTTCCAGCTCGCCTAGGTAGATCAGCAGCGCATGTCTATCAGTCCAGTTGTATGCCCCAAACGTTTTCATTCGCGCTTTCAATTTTGTGAGGAACATCCTTACCGTGTGAAGGCAGTGAATAGGCAGAGGTCATTATCGCATCGCTACATTAGGGCATTTGGGGAGGGAGACTGAAGTTTACTCACTCTTGGCCGTAAGAGGTCGTTTGATAGATGATTAATTATGCATTACTCAATATTTGTGATTAGTATTTAAAGCAAATTAATTTTATTCAGTGTGGTAGTGAAGTTTGTGCAAATGAATTTTTTAACACGAATAAGGAAAGAGGAAATTGGGCTATAGTGTTTGTGTTCATACTGGGTTGTAAGTAAATGTCCGACTACATAACGAAGTTAATTTATTTGTATAAGTGCAAGTAATCTGTATCAAAATAGAACTTGCACAGAATTGCAGCAGTTCGAGTAGCCTCACATTCTATGTAGCACACAAAGAGAAGAGAGTAAAAGAAGGTTCAAAAGACAGATAATAAACAGAAGTGTGAGGGAAAAAGAATTATAATATGGAAGAACAATAGAATTTTAGTGGATATGATAAATCACAGAGAGTGAATACATCTGGCACCATTGAGAACTATTTTGATCCATATTTCCAACCGTTGGTTCTTACCATGCCAAGGACCCCAACCAGTCAGGAAGTCTGCATCTCCCTACGTGACTGGTTCAAACTAATTGTTATGGGTTTCATTGACTGATTCTTTGTTTTGGCTTGGCCATCACCTGGCCCTTCCTCTGTCAGCTAACATTGCTCGTCGAGGAAGGCGATGGCGCAGCTCTGGCTTCTACTGTCTCTCAACACTTGGTTCATGAGTACCCAGTGGCGTTTACAAGTTGTAAAGATACAGGAGGTTATGGTGAATGATTCACCAGTACTTTTTTGTGGTATGCAGTACTGATTGATATTAGTTGTTGTAAACTATTCACGTCACAACCAGTAGTGCTTGTCAGTCTTATCAATTGACCATTTAAACACCGGAGGGTCCGTTTCGGTCTTTTGAGTCAAATCTCATCAGCAATGTAAGCAGAATTTGTGCATTACTTAAATAACCCACTTTATACACAAATCTACTAGAAATTCTGTATAGAAAATCTACCCCACTTCATGTGTTCTTATTTTTAAAGTTAAACACGAGAAGTGTTAGTACTACATCTGATTGTCTTGTTTATCTTTTCTGTTTTTCCTTAGAAAAAAGATGGTCGTCTTGTAACCAATACTGAAGAAACGCGGTATTGTATAACTGAGACTATGCCAAATATCATTCCTATTATGCCAGTGGATAGAGTAGAGATTGTAAGTTACTTTATTTGCCTACAACCTGATCAATATGTTGTCACCAGTTTATTTTTAGTGAGAGTTTTCATCCTACTCATTAGTAGTGCATGTGTAATGTCTAAATTTTACTCGATACGGTTTGATTGAATTCTTTGTGAACATGTTTTCTGTTTTATATATATGCAGTCATACTAATTGCCAGAAAACGGGGAAGAGATGATAGTGTAATGACTTCATTGTTAAGTGATCTTGTCCAGTGAATACAATGTTGTCATGAATTTAACTCCTCTGGTTGCATCAAAACTTAATTCTTTATAACTGGATTCTGTCTCATTCTATCTCACAATTACAAAGTTACTATTTTGGCATAAAATCTCTTGTTCACATGATTACAACTTTATATAGCTACGTAACGGTTAGCGCATCAGTTTCATTATGTAGACGACCATCCCGAAAGAGAAGTTCACTTCACTCCAGAAAAATCTGCCGATTCAACTTCTGTAATCATTGTTTTTTATGTATTTGAATTTGTTTGAGATGTTTTGAATGCAATTATTTTCTTTCTCTCTTTTTCAGCGTATGTTAAGTCAAACAGAATGGGCCAATAAACAGATTCAAGGCATTATAAAAGCATTGCATGCTGATTTAGTATCAGCTAAATCACAAGAGTCTAACATCTCTCAATATATTGGTAAACTTGTCTCCTCTATTCAATCGCCTGTCAGTGGTGGTGTACCGAAATTAGTGGTGAGTTCTATGATCTGTGATGTGCTTTTCCTCTACTTTAAGACAGTATTTCCTATGATTATACAATCTATGAGAATATCCAGAGAGATTGTTAATAGTAATGCTGAAAAACATGGTATCAATACATATTCCATATTACTGGAAATCGCTCCTACTTGTACAATAAAAGGAAATCATAAAGAATTAGAATCCTTAAAATTAGTCTTTTTAAGTTAGTCACCTACTTTTTGAGGTAGATTTGTGTTCTCTGCACTGGATGGTTTACTTGCGAAGCTTTCATTGCCCTACTAGGCAACATCTTCAGCGCACATTTGAGCTACAAATATTCTCCATTATGTTTAGTGACTTACGTTTAACATGCCTATTGAGTTCATTTCCATCCTCAAAGTGAATTCCTTTTTATCTCATTTACACCAGTATCCGATGTCCCCAGACTATTTACTACGTCATTATCTATTTGGTTTATTGACGTAACTAGCTGAATGATCAAGTATTCACACACGGGATAATAGAAGCTGTTTGGACGTCATCTTAGAGACTTCTTCCATCATAAGCCATGTTAGTTAGTACCACAGTCAATGTATTCCTTCCAAGATTCCTGTTTCATTGTGGTCAGTGTTAATAACTGTGTCTTTATTTCATAGCGGAGTACTGAACTCAGTCCTTACTGTTAACTATCACATAGATACATTGAGTTAGTGAATTTCATGTATAATCCCCATCCAGGCATTAGTGAAAACAAAACACGTAGATCAGTGAAGAGTCTCTTTTCGGCGAATTCATTTTCTTAGCTGTACAATCGCAAATATATACATATGGGTTATTTTGTATGTATGTGTACATTAAGTTTGTCAAACAAAATTACAATTGGTTATAGTTATTTTAACTAAACAGGTGAAGATTGGTAATTGGAGTTATGTAATACAAAATCAGTCAAGAAAATTAGGTGTTAATGAAATTAGAGTAGTAACAAAGGTGATGAGTTGTCACAAACAGTTGTTAAAAGAAGTTTTGTAATAATATGAATAGTTTGATGAGTGAGTTTTACTCAGGATGCACATAGAAACAAAGTAGATAATACGAAATTACGTAAGAGTTCTAAATGAATACAAGAATTATAAGCAATTGAAGAACAGGCAAAAAACAAAATTAAGTCATCAAAATCAAAAAATTTGATTTGATTTTTTGAGTAAAACTCACTCATCAAACTATTCATATTATTACATAACTTCTTTTAACAACTGTTTGTGACAACTCATCACCTTTGTTACTACCCTAATTTCAAAAACACCTAATTTTCTTGACTGATTTTGTATTACGTAACTCCAATTACCAATCTTCACCTGTTTAGTTAAAATAACTATAACCAATTGTATTTTTGTTTTGTTTGACAAACTTAATGTACACATACATACAAAACAACACATATATATTTGCGATTGTACAACTAAGAAAATGAATTGGCCGAAAAGAGACTCTTCGCTGATCTACGTGTTTTGTTTTCATTAGTGAATTTCATCTCAGCCTTCCACATGTTGTATTACCTCTGCTTTCCTATCAAAACCCCCGAGATATTAACATAGGACCTACCAGTACTGTGTTGTGCTCCAGCTTACCACTAGTTATATTTGTGCGCCAAATACAAAGTCAATGAAATCTGAGACAAACGATTAATACTACACCTTAAAATCGTGAGGTAAAATACAAAAATAAGACCAGTAAAAAGCAACATGATATTAAATTTAAGAGTAAGAGTACCACTAGCAACAATTTTGAACTATCAAATGTCTTTTTCAGCCATCTGTTTCAGTCACTTGAGATAAAACAAAGAAGAGTACTTTTTTGCCCCACTCCGATGCCTTCTCATTGTGTGTTTTTTTTCATGATTTCAAATGTTGTTTACAGAAAGATGTTGAATTATCCGATGATCCTCGGCAGGAGAAGTGTTTCTCTCAATTAGCTGACAGTGTTTTAGAACTCTTGGAGTTACAGTTAACCTTTTTAAAGTTTTGGTATACAACTGATCCACCTCCACCTCCGGCGTCTCATCGTCTAATTGCAATGCGTAATCTTGATATGGTTGAAAATACTAGTGGATCTAATGTGTTTCTAGTGTCAGTGGTGCTGCAGGTACCGGTAACTATCTTCTCTATGAAATGATTGGTTACTATGAAGTACTAGTACGTGATATGAGTCGAAAATTCGGCTTCTCTGTTGATCATTTGAATGCTGACAGTCTTCGTTATGGTCCAATATCTACAGATAGACAAGGCACTGTTAGTGGGATTAGTAATAATAATAATACGAATATACTGTCTCCACTTCGTCGTAATTCGCGTTCATCACAAAAGTAAGTTTATTAAAAAGAAAGAAAAAAAACTGATATATCTTTATTTCTTCATATATCCATATATTATTCACAGTACTGTGTCATTGATAATATTATTTTACTTGCTTTATTCTTTTGCGTTCCAACTGGAACACTTAGGGCTTCAAGTCTGAGCTTTGAATTTTCAGTAGTAGTGGGTTTTTTTACGGGATGAAGTTGCCAGTCTCGTACTTAACCTTCTTCCTTTACCGGGCTTACTACTGGCTAAGCGAGGTTTAGGAGTGCGTCACTTGAGGGTCGGTCCCTGGACTATAAATGTGCTGTTTGCCAGTACTCTACCGCTGAACCACTGATGCCCATAAGTCATATAATGATACACCTATTGACTGGGTATTTATACATTGGTTTTCAGGCGAATCGAACACACTTATCCCTGCCTCTTGCGAGATGAAGCCAAAATACTGTTTCATCCTGTGGCACAACTACCTGATAGCTCTCTTCCTCAGTGCACCAACCTTGATAATAATAATAATAGTAAAAGCTTTACTCTGAAAAAATGCATTTAGCTGCAGTACAGAATTCTCATAGTGATATTAGATTATTCGGTCCAGAATCTTCAACAAAAAAACGGATAAAATGTCCTAGGAAGAAATGATGGTCTATCTGAGGCAATCTGTCATACACCGCAATGTTTTTCCTCCATTTCCTTGGAAAACTTCATACCATTAGGTTAAAGTCTACCTGAAAATGGGCGTGATTACAAACTGCTATTAAAGAAAGTAATTGGATGAATAAAACAACATATATGGAAAATAAGATATAGATCAGTGATATTTCATCACATCACATGTCTATTAATGTCCTAGTGTAACGACAGAAGACAAGGTCCAGGCAACAGATCGTTTATTGAGAAAATCAAGAGGTATTTATAGATTTTTATGTACATTATTGTTAGCGGAGAAGCAACCTCTTCTGATTGGTTGTTTTCTTGCTGAAGGTTATTCTGTTATCTCTTTGTGGCCGTTTCTCAGAAAATCAAGCCATATATATCTGCGATTCCTATTTGCCACACGTTAACTCCACTGTGATTGGCTAGTGATTTTCTCAGGGTTAAGCTTTGTTATTGTTTTTCTCATGACCCTGACTCGGGACGTGAACATTGACGTAAATTGTTGTCTACAATTTTGGCTTGTTCGCAGCCAGCTCTCACCACAACAACAGGATAAAACAGCAAGCGGGTTAAGTAAAAACTATGAATGATAAATTGAACAATAAGAATTGTATACAAGTAAATGAAAAGTAACACATTTGGTATCCAAGTAAATTTAACTCACTTTTGTCTAAGATACAGTTATCTTCATATCCCTTCTATGTTTTTTGCTTCTTCTTCTTCTTATGGATGAAATTGTTTGCAATGCATTAGCAAGACCATTTTAAAGGGTAAAAGAGTTTAACGACCGAAACCCACATTTTATGATCTGAACACAGAAAATCAATCTATCCGTCCTATTGTATAGCTAGCCTAAATCTCCTTGAGTTGTGTTCAGTCACAAAATGTCCCAGAGACAGCAAAACAACCGTTATTTTTGATAAAATCTACAGTACTGTTTAACAATAATGACATCAAGAAAACTCAAAATTACCTTAACAATGTCGTCAGGCAGCTCAAGACGGATAAGAAAAGTTTCTAGTACAAAACAAGTGCTATAGAACAAAATTAGGTGACCAAAAATCAGCTGTAAGAAGTATCTGAGACTCAAGAAGAATATTCCCAACAAGGTGGGATCAGCAACTCTGTCAGCAATAATCAAACACCAACAATCCTGGCAGATAGTCCAAGGTCAAGATGACCTTGACTCATTCAAACAAAATCAATAAATTAGTATCATCACACAACCACAAGGAGAAGCATTAGAATTAGAGATTCAACAGGAGAAAAAGACAAATGGTAAGATCAAATCAACGCATGATATGCAAACGTCAGAACAGTGACATTATAGCCTAAGAGAAAAGGAGAAAATAATTACAAAGTTAGATAAAATATCCAAATAAGTATAAAGATTGTGATTGGATCGTTCAGGAGGGATTTCCTAAACAATTATTCCGTCACATCCTCTCTATTCAAGCGCGAGAGATTCATTCTATTAGGTTGTTTCTGTTGTTAGTGAGACATCTGCCTACCTCTCAATGTTTTATCTGAGTTAAGATACTCAAAACTACTAAAGCGTTTATGATTAAAGTAGGAAAATTGGCATTCTGAATCAACAACTTCTCATGTTGATTGATAAAATGATGCTTCCTTTTCCCACCGTGCAATCACTTTTCAACATTCTTTCATTCAAGTTGTACAACACTAAAGTACAGTCTGGTTAGTAAGCTTATTTTAGTGTGATCACTGGTGAAACTTTCATGATCACATATTTTCTTATTCTGAGTGAAACATAGGTATTCAGGCTTTGGTAGTTTTTTACAATATGGGGTTGCTAATCTCATGTCCAACCTTTGCTTTTTACCAGGGTTAATACTGGCTTTATGACGTTTTGGAATTCTTTGGCTGGGGATGAAACTCCCGGCTGGATGCGTGGTTACTAAGTGTTCTACCGCTAAACCTTCGACAATCTACCTACCCTTGCAAAATACAATTACCAGTTATGATCCTCAAAACTCATTTACTATCACCACTGTTTGATATTCATATATTCTCTTGGATGTGTATTTTTTGACATTTGAATTAGTTTGGTTGTGCATATAAATTGTGGAATTAGTTATATAATAATAATTACAATAATTCTATAAATAACAATGATGAAAAAATCGAGCGATTCGTGATGACATGAATAATGAAAAGTGGCATGATTATTTATATAAACAAATTTTCAAATAGACGTAGTAAGTAAAGCCTAAGGAAGCAAACAGTCAGGTTACGTCATGCTAGATTGTAAGGGAAGTAATCAGACTAAGATGCAACAAGACTAAGGAAAAGTTGGTGTAGTCAAGTTGATTAGGACGTCACTGCTGAAGGCGCAGGGGTATAATACCTGTACGAATTTCTTCTGAATGCATGATTTAGGCCTAATAGTTCGGATGGCAGTTGTCCCAGCTATATGCAATAGACGAATACCGAAGCTACTGGGGACCGTTTATACTTTGAATTAATTCATTGTCTATACATTTTTAAAGTAATCTAATTGACTTATCTTTTTAATTATGATGATTATGATAATAATAATAAGCGTATTATTTTTCTTTTAATAAAACCTTTATATCTAGTGCTATGAACACCAGTGTTGGTACAATCACTCAATCAACTATGCCAAGAGTTTTCTCTAGGCCTGATTATTCTGGTTTTGAACATTCAACAATTCGTTCCTTACAAAGATCATTTCAAACGGTAAATGAATTTGTAATTAGCTTCTAGTATATTCTTGATGCCTTTTTTTCTGAAATATCCTTTCATCATTAATAGTAACAGTAACTTGGACACACTTCCTTCCTACTCCATCTATGAACTGTGGATTCGATAGCTAACCATTTAGTCTTTCCCTGAATGTGTGCCGGTGTTTTTGTATTGGTTACTGGAGAACAATTCAGGTCATATTATATAAACCCTTGACTATATTCCATAGATTTATTCTCCCATATTGTGAACAAATTTGGAAGTTTGCCATTGTGATGTGCTGCGTCAGTGCCACAGGGGCAGAATGCTCGCCAATCACGCCACAGGTGGTTCGGGGTTCGATCCCTGGTCGACGCATTCCTTTACCTCGTTAAGCCAGTAATAAGGCTGGTAAAGAGGGAAGGTTGGGTATAAGGCTAGCAACCCCATCCGGTAAAAATAAATACCACTGCTACCAAAACTTCAGACCTCTAGCTTGAAGCCCTATGTTCCACTGGCAACATAAATGAATAAAATAAATGAAAATAATAATAATAGGGTTTTTGGTGCTAGATGGTAGATTCCAGTATCTTGGAAGCGTTGTCTCACTTATGTCTCGTCACAGTGGTCATTCTTCAGCAGGGCACACTTGCAGTCTTAAAATCGCTAACCTGGTGTTTTCTGATTATTTCCGTCTATCCAGATTAATTACTTTAACTGCTATAAGTAAATAACTCACTAACTGTTGTTTGTTATAACTAGCTGGTTGACAAAATTTGACTATTAGTAGCTCAACATGTTTAATGTTTCATTTGCCCAAGACATGTGAATAATCTTGTAAATATTTCTAGAAAATGATTGTTTTTGTTGGTTTAATAAAAGAAATCATTAGAAACGTTATGATACATGGGTCTTTTTCTGTGATACTGAATGGAGTGCTTTCTGACTTGATATCAACCAAGGGAAGAATTAAAACTATGGGACACTATTCAGCTGTCTTATCCTAATTTTGATGTTTTCAACGCAAGACTCCATATCGTATGGAGCTGAAGACTGTTTGCCCCCCCCCCCCACTCTGATAGACACGTTACTGGGTCAAGGTCAAATGATCGTCGAATGAGATTTTTGTGCAGAAACACTGGTATCGTCATTAAGTATGTTTTGATGGTTTCAGATGATCAACCACATACGCATACATTTATCAAGGAATTCATTGCACAAGAACATGATAAGAACATATACATAAGAGCACGTTATGTATATGCTTTTTGGGTTTTACTGTCCATTTAGATTATATTGTTTTTCCTCTAAACACCTAAATCCTAATCCTAAACCTTTAAGGCCTTAAATCATAATCCTCTCAGTTTTAATCCCCAAAACTATAAACTCTTGAGCTGCTGTCAATATTACTCATTAAGTGTAAGAGCGTGACATGGCATATTTTAATTTTTTCTGTTTATTTCGTATTGCATTTAGACCGTACAAACTTATTAATGGAGAGTTGACATATCAAATAGATTAAAGTGTTTATAAGATTAGGTGCATGGGTCAACTTAGGCGATCTAAGGTCATGGGTGTTTACACAAGGCGAAATGTGATTGGTTAAGTTCCTAGTCTCCATACATTAGTCATAAGTAATAGTTGTCCACCATATACGGATTCTCACAATTAGGCAGGCTTATTATCCAGGTAGTGGTAGTATAGTGATTTTTTTAAATTATGAGTGTAATTGTTATTTTTCTTCCCTTCACGTTCCCCAGTGGAACATAGGGCTTCAAGCTAGTGGCTTG